AAAAAAAAAAAAAAAAAAAAAAATCAAAATGTGTTTCATTAAAAATAAAGAAACAAAATGAAACAAGGCCCTTGTGAGTGTAACTCCTCTTCTTAAATTAAAGCAACTCCAAACAAAATAAAGGAAGTGTTTTCAACAAAAAGATCTGAATTAATAATCTTACATTTCACCAGTTCAGATTCTACACTTGAGAAAGAGAGAGAAAATGTATAAAAAAATACTTGATTAGTGTGAATGTTTAATATGTCAAAATTAAGATATCACAGAAACACCAAGACCTTTCAAATCTAAAAAAATAAATATATTTTAGTTGAAACTCAGCATAAATAATAAAGCATGTAGAACATATTACAATCAATCTATCAAATATCATAATGTTCTCTATTTAAGCACATAGTACTATGGATGAAAAATGTATACTACATGTATATAATTATATAATTCAGCATGGTTGAAAGAGTTTTAACTGTTGGGCTTTGTAGTTGTGAAAGACCATTTACTGCACAAAACCAAGTATTTCTAATTTATTTTCTACAATGCCTATAGCATCATGTTTTGATTTTGGTGAATTCCACCTGAGAAAGCAGACCACAGTTGAAGGCCATTTCAATGACACTATGAGAAAAGACCTAGACAGAGCTTTGTCAAGGTCACTATAAGAAATGACCTTGAGAGAGCTCGGTCAAAGTCACTGTGAGAAATGCCAGTCCTTCTACAAAAAACTGCCTATAACATGTAAAAAGTCACTGTGAAAAATTACCTAGAAAGAGCTTCTCTGTCAAAGTCTCAATGAAATGTGGGTCATTTTACATGAAACTGTCTCAAGGGAACACAAAAGTTACACTTCTAACAATCTGTGGATTACTTCAGTCAAGTTGAATATGATACTTATGGGTATAACTTCTTTGAAAGAATGATCAGATGGGAAGAAAAAATGCCAGTGAACGGACCAACATCATACTCAAATTATTAAGCCTGAATGGTGATTTGCTATAAATACCTGCTACCAGCATAATGTGAGAGGTATATATCTCGCTTCGATTTGGTAAAAAGAAAAAGGAACTGTAGAACACGATGTGCTGCATTGCATTTTTTTTTCAAAGCTGTTACCCAAAGCTGAACCAATTCATCATTTAGTTCGCTTCTAATTTTGGAATAAAAAGGATTGTACCTTCATTTCAACGCTTTTACCAAATCAAAGAGATAATATCAAGATATCATTAAATGCTCCAGTAAAGAATTTCATCAGCTGCGTTATATATTTAGTTACTATAGCAGTTTCTTCAAAACATTTGCCAAGTTCAGAGATACTTAGTCTTGTACTTATCGGTACACTCTCAAAACTTCAATATAACAATAAATTATAAGGTGAACAGGAAGTACAATACATTGTAAGGGAGGAAGGGGTTTTAACCATAGAAATAACTGGGGAGAGGGATAACTCTTAGCTCCCCTACTTCTGGGATTATGCTTAATGCATTTTAACATTTGATACCTCAATTTTTTAGCTCCAGCCCTTCACAGATACAAAAAAAAAAAAAAAAGAGAAAAACTTGGAAAGCAAGTACCTCTGGTCTCAGCTTGGTCTGAAGAAATTAATATAGTAACTTAGCAATATGTGCCTGCCTTAAATAAAAAATAAAAGTAAGCAAAAGGAAAGGTTTGCTATAAAACAATAAATTATATTGGTTGAAATACCAGCCCCCTAGCCCATGTGAGGACCTTACCTTTTCATGAAGGTCTGCAAAGGGTAGCAAATGCAATAGTTCAAAAAATTGGCGATTATAGTGTCACTGTTTTTCCTACCACCCTGTGGGTCTTGGGTCTACCCCACATCTTCTAGATGGTGTGTTATACATAACAAAGAGGGTGATAATCAGGGTGGTGCAGGGGTGCAAACAGTACAATACAAACACTGGCAAAATATTCAAGAGTTTTTCATCAAAATTTTGCAAGAAAATGAATGGAATGTTGGATAATTAAATATAAATGACACAATTGAAGTTAATGTAGATGTTGTTCTTGAACTTTCATATTTTTTAAGTGAATCTAATAATGTTTACAAAATGGCCTTATTTCTGATTTCACTTCAGAAGAACACTGATGGTGTTAAATTGGATGACCAAATATTTGCTAATGCTATACAAATCTATAACAAAAGAATACTTAACTGTCTTATAATTTCTAAAAAAAAAAGATGTTTTTGATGTACTGCATTAAAAAGCAACAGGAAAGTACAATTCAAATTTAAGAGTCATAAATTTGGAAGAAAAACTCTTGAACAGCTCTTGCCATAAAGCAAAACAACACTTCACATTGATGATAATTATGTAAAGATGCTTCTTAATCTATATCATAACAACCTTCAAAGCTCGTTGGAGTTGGAAATAAAATTAATTCTATATACTCAAGGAGGAAAAATAGGTCATCCTAGCCTCTGAACCTTCAAGAAGCGACTGTTGTTAATTTTTTTTCTGGTTTCTGGAATAACCAAGCTTTGCTTAAAGCTTATGCATGGCATGCGTTTTATTGTTTTAATTCACAGATAAATATATTTATGGTATTTGCAGCATATAGCAATGTTCAAATAAATTAATGTATAGATATTCCCAAATAAGGCAACACACAGCAATACCCAAATATAGTAATAAGCAAAATTCTTTTAAGCATAAAAATAAGCATATCCAATTAGGGCAAAGAAGCACTGCTGCTATACCCATATTTGGCATATGTTAAATCAGATTTTACCATATATGGTAAATATTAAATCTGTTTTGACTTTACATGGTGAATGTTATTCCTGGGTTGACCATATAAGGTGAATGTTATACTCGGTGAACAAACTCTACAGGGAAATTGTTATACATTCTTACCTTTTCAAGTAAATCTGGATGGAATGAAAAAAGGAAAACAAAATATTAGTTGTTAGTATCCTAACAAACTACATTACATTATCTTCCAAATAAATAACCCACTACAACTAATTACATGTAAATAATCGATAGACATGTTCAGGGCAGTAAATCACAGGTAAAAAAGGTTCCAAAACAAACTTAGGTGGTATCAGAACTGCCAAGAACATGATTATCAACATAAAAAAATGCTGCAAAATGTTGTAATCCATTTTTTCCAAGTCTACAGATACTAGGCCTGCCATATCCATTCAATTTGTCTGCAATTTTTTTTCGATAACATGCCAAGTAATGGAAATCAGGAAATGTCTCATTTTTATAAACAGTGTGGTTTTGTATAAGCAGCAGGGTTATACTGAATCTACAACTTATATCAATGTTAATAACTTCTAATTTTTATTTATTTATTTATTTATTGATTGATTGATAAATAAATGAATCATTTCATTTTAATGAAGAAAGAAATAATAATAATATACAAGCTTCATTCTATACAGCAGCCAACACATTTCCTCAATCTACGAGTGGGAAACACAACGGAAGCTATGTTTTTTTTTTCTTTTTCATTTTTATTTTATTTGTGATAACCAGATTAATTATAAACAATTGTTTCTCAAGTTTATATAACAGTGCATGCATAACTCAGAGAGTACATATTTTATAATAGATTCTGACAGAAAGAAAGAAAGCCATACCATTACACCATGGCGATATATCATGACCCTAGTGATACTGCTACTGACAGCATCTACATTAGAGGCTTAATACTCTGCATGGTGCGAGAATAAGTGCTTTAAATGTGTAAAATAATCAAAATATTTTTGTTAAATAACAGAAAAAGATAAAAGACAAACCAAACGGTCTGCTTGCAGGCAGTAATCTGGAGAAATGTAGTTTTGGCCTTTCTAGTTTTTATAGTGCTCAAATAAAATGTGAAGAGTCTATGGCAAACTGGTAAATAAAACTTGGAATAAAATGGCATACAACTTAAAGAAAAGCAGCAAATAAAAAATTTAAAGATTGATGTCTCAAAAAAATGTAAGTACAAATTAAAACTGCATCTCAAAGTGATAATAATCTGCGCACAATAAAAACTAAAGTAGAATAAATTGGTGTCTTGTGTAAATGCATATTTAACTCCATGCGCTGACATGCAAAATGAACTGTGCTCTGTGCAGTGATGTTAGTAAAACTTTCAAATTCTATAATTCAAATATTAAACTGAATTTATAATGGTGTCAGGCAAAGTCAGTACACTTCGCGAACATATCAATAACAAACAAAGTTTTGCTTGGCATGCTTGTGTATCACTAGATTACAAACTATTACAAAGACTTTCTTCACATAAAACTTTAGTCAGAAAATTGGTCTAAAATTTTAGACTAAAACTTAAGTCAACTTTGACCCAAGACAATTCAGAAGTAATCCAGATAAATGACAATTTTCACCTGCTTTATAATAACAAAATCATGGGTAATATCTTATACTGATATTACTGTATTTAAGTTGTCTCATGGGTTTTTCTTGAAGTAATGTTATTTAAAACCATTTTGGTCTAACAGTTAAGACCAATTTTCAGGCTAAAGTCCTTTTGTGAAAATCAGCCTCTTTGCAGGTGACAATCTCAGTCTTCCATGCAAGAGAATATGATCACACAATCTCACTGAAACTGAACTGTATTCCACAAATACTAGAGCTGCACATAGTATGTCATAGTACTTACAATTTGTGATCAAGCCTCCAATGGGGTCCCCTTTGTAATCAAATTCTATGTCCATATATTTGCCCTAGGTAATATAAATATTAAATGGGATTAGAAGACATTACAGATAAATTCTATTGTTTATCAAATACCATTGTGTTAGAGGAGACAGAAAGACCAAAAGCATTGTGTTGTCTCTCTGGTGGTGTCTTGGGTGTAAATCTTGTGTAAAAAAATTATAAGTAATCCTTTACAAGTTTTATTCCTTAATATTTCCTTTTACAATTAGAATCTAGAACATATCATATCATATCATATCATTAAAAATCAGATTTTTATTATGAGGAATATTTTCTTAACATCTTCTTTTGGTAAATATTCATATGATAGCCATATGAAAGCTCTACGGTGTAGAGATCCACTTACAAATCTTGAAGAATTGTCATTCTTGTTTGTCTTGGCATTTCCAAATGCTGAAAATAGAAATTTGTGTTCAAAGGTGTGGCAACAGTCTTTAATCAATTTTGAAAACATGTACTGAACGTACTAAATGGTAGAAAGCTTTCACTCACTATCGTTCACTTACGCTCACTTACACAAGTAACCTTTCACTCTCACGATCGATCCCAGATTCATATGTCTAAAACTTCACATAAGTGTGTGCGCCAGAAACCAAGTCAACCACAAGGATAAATCAACGTAACGCTGCTTTATTAAACAACTGACCCCGATTTATAACAAGAACGATCTTTTATACCAGTTTTCTTTATCATGACGATCTAAGGTGAATTTTCTGCTGCAGGATGATGTCCAATCAGCGCACCAAAAGTTAATGAAGTCTATTTACGTAATTAGGTCATCGGGAGCGTCTCTTGATCTACGGACGCTCCCGACAAACAGCACATTATTAAACCTAAGAGTTACTTTTAATGATAAAAGTAGTAAAACTATTTCTAAAATACCTTTGTTCATTGAGTTATAACTCAAATTTCTGTTTATAAAAATTATACAGAAAAGTCAGATTTTTCTTTGCTATGAGATGAGATAAATATTCTCATCTTTGTAAAACTCAAACAAATTTTGTCCCAACGTATTTACAAATTTTCTGCATTTGATGTAAAATTGGATCACCATATAGGGTGATTACCATTATACTGAATTTCAAGCCTGCTTGGTAAGTGCAAATTATATTACATATTATAAAACTGCCACTGTGGGAAATGTCACAACCAAGCAATGCAATTCAAGTGTCACAACTAACACAATCAAACTCCGCCATACCTTCTAGAACTGGGTTTGACTGTAGAAGCTGTTCCTTTACTTTGTCTATGTCTTGTCCCTTGCCTGACACTGCAGCCACATACTGCATAATCACCTTGCTGGCCTCTGAATGTAGAAATATATAGAAACCTAAGTTTCAAAATAACCTCTGACCAACATCTAACCTTGACGAATCTACGGAACCATCAGAATTGAATTAAAAAAGGCAGAATTCCACTTTTCCGCAGAAAAAGCTCATTCTGATCCTTGGCAAGATTTCTCAAAATTAAATTTTTTTTTCTTTTTTTTATAAATCAAAAAGAAAGAAAGAAGACAAAGCATCACCTGTCTTTCCAGCCCCACTCTCTCCAGATATTATGATACACTGATCCAGGTTTTTATCCCTCATGGACCTATACGCGTCGTCTGCTATGGCGTAACTACGTAAATAAAGATAAACTGATATATACGTATATGTGAATGTACAGCATCAATAAAAAGATACTTCAAGATTATCACTATTAAAACAGCTAATTGTTTTGTGTACCTGAATTATATTAGAAAATAATTATCAAAACTTGTCTCAGTAAAGCTACAGAAATGACGAGGCATGGAGCCAAAACAGAGTGCACTTTACTACAACTTTCATAATAAAAACATAAATGATAAGTTCAATTAAGCAATCAATTGCCTTAAGTTAAATATATTAGCAAAGTATATCCAAAGGTGTAGACTACATTTTTGTGTTTTAGATTATTAAGTTTACTGTATATAGTCAAACACAAGCCATTTGAAGAGAAACTCATTACCAAGCAAATAATTTACAACAACAGCACCAAAATGAACCTAGCAATTATGAAACTGTTAGGTTGAAAATACTCTCTGCATCATAAAATTGTTTGAAGTAGTGACAGTTACATAGAAGTCTTCTTGTCGATTGGTATTCATATCTTAAATTGACCCAGTTGTGAACTCGACTGTAGAAGTCTCTCTACTCACACATGTGGCGGGAGTTCGTATATGTTTCTACTCTTGTATTCAAATATGACATCATCTGTGTACAGCGGGAGTTTTCTGTATGGGTTCACTGACACGACTACTGTCCCGATGTAGGTCTGAAACAGTGCAAAGGCATATTTAGAAGATAAAGATGCTGAAAATTTAAAATGTTTAGTGTGTGAAAGTGTTGAAAACATTCACAGTGATAAAAGCAAACTGTCTTACATCGAGGATAAAATAAAGCATGATGGGATAGTCTGATGGTGACCATAGCCTTGACCTTTAAATGTTAGAATGAAAATAGAAATAAATGACATCAAGTTAAACTATCAAAGATTTGCTTTCAGTTTAGTCTAGAAACTGACCAGTTTAAAATATCATCACTATAAGTAACATTACTACACAGATCAATTCTCATCAAGGCACCAAGCAATATTTGCCTGTTAACAGACACATCACTGTATAAACTGGAGAAAGGGAATCAATCATAACTCTTCATATGTAGCTAAATTAAATCATCTTCAAGTTAGTTCTATATCCTCGCCTCAGCCTTACAAAATGTAGGCTTTTGTGGGGCTGAAACTGATACGTCATGCCCAGCTTTCACATTAAATGTCAAAAACATCATCGATTTCAACACTGCTGCACTTTTACTCTGGTTTTCAATAATGTAATGGAAATAACACTGTGATCCCTTTCATAATATTGGGGAAAAAAAGAGGAAAAAAATACCCCAAGATGTGAGTATCGTGATAATAACAGCAGAGGCTTCAGGCAGACTAGATTACTGAGGATGAGATCCAGCTGACTGGTTGCCATAGCAACACAAAGTAACACATGGTTACAATGATGCACCTGAGTCCTGTTAAAAGTCATGTATGGTTTACCAGTATCATATATACCTAAGTATGTAATGACTGACAGTTGTTGCCTTGGCTTCTCTGCATCTTAGTTGAAGCAATTAAGTAGCAACCAATTTTTCTATTATTATATAAGAATTTAAATTGGTGCAAATCCATTTTTCTCCATATTTTTCTCTACTCAAAACCCAAAAGCATTTATTTTCTGCTAAATATCTTAAAAATAAGTCTATACTTAAATATTTTTCTCAAAAATGGCATCACAATAGGAAATTTTAGAGATTTCAGCTTATTTCCATTAGATATCTAAACAGTGAAGAGGAGGGGGGGGGCAATCTTTTCCAGAATGCAGGTACTGAAAAAGGTAAACAACGATTTTTTTACTGGGTGAGTTTTCAGGGACTTATTGTGCTGTTATTATAATTTTTTCTTATAAAAAACTTTTTTAGTCAAACATCTCTATTCTCCATTTACATTTTACTAATATATTTTTTATACTAAAATATTTGGGATATTTACTAAAAAATTAGAATATTTTCTTTCAAAGTGTCCCAAAATGAGTTTCAATATAATCCCCCCCCCCATTTTTTTTCAGCCAAGGTTATAACATAATGAACCTTGAGTCCAAAATCCAGCAAAAATCCTTGATATTTTAATACTTAAATACTTACATAAATCTGCTCATGGTGAAACCTCTTTTTCAAGTTTTCTATAAATCCCTCTTCTTCTATTGGTTCTAGCAGCACAGCATCGCTGACACCTATATTATTTTCAAATAATTCCAGCTTGTGCAACGCCATCTTGTTTTCTTCTCATGGAATGTACACCAATCACAACTGCTCTTGTTGAAATCCCGTCACCTCATGTTTGATCCTGTAATTGCATGGATTTCATGTATTAAAATAATAATACGTTTATATCTAAATCTTATAGCAGGTGCATATGATCTAAGAGAGAAAGATTCAATGTTGTACTATATATATCTGAGTAGATTACCACTTACAATACAGTAAAAGATGTCACAAGCATGTGTACATGCAAATTGATCTAACCTACAACAGCTCACACCGACTTAAAATCTGTGGTTTAGAGTAACCAACATGGCAGTACCCTACGATCTATTGTCAAATGTCTCATCAATAGTATAATATATATAACACGGTAAACAATGGGTGTCTGTAAAATGACGTGTACACTTGTATCATTGGCAACTCTGATGATTTTTCATCTTAAATAGAATCCTCTTCACAATTTACTGACAAAAAGCGTCACCTAGGTAACTTGAATGGATATTGTTATGTCATGATTATTAGTTTTTAAGAAGGATATGATTTGCGTGATGTCTGTCCAGGCAGAAAAATAACAAATGTACAGACATATTAATGAGAATCAAAATGAGAGAAAATCACATTTCCTGTATGTCACTGAAAAACAATCTGTAAGTCCAAGAAAAATTGAGCATGGGGAAAACAATGGATATCCCTCCTCTGATATCACATCAAACATTCATAATATAATAAATCATATAAAAATTATTACAAAATTAGCAGAAAATAACTTCGGAAAAACAACAAAACACTTTGTAATAAATTACCACTTTTTCTCAAGGTCTTCTGTTGATTATACAAATCAAGTCAACCAAATATATAAAAATCAGCCAAATGAAAGTGAAACAAATTGACAACATGCCACTCAAACAGCACTTGTTCCCTTATTCATGCATCGTAGTCCTATTATTCATATCTTTGTAAATTACCACCTTTCTACATGCACTCAAGGTAGGTTACCAAGTGGAAATCCAACCTTTTATTGTATCGTAACTAAAGGTTCATTTTCCCTGAGTGTCAAGCTCAAAGACAAAGCACAAGAGTACAAAATTGATATCTTCAGCACATAATAGCACGTAAAATACATTAATATGGCTTTGATGTATTCTTCATAGGAGTACATGCAAGTTACTTTCACTAAAAGATATTTTAAAATGCAATTTGTAATAGCAATTAGGAAATGAAGGTTCCCCTTTCAATTAGACTAAGGGCTCATTCCCAATGTAACTATTGTTCTATGTAAATCAATCCACAGGATTATCAATGAATGGCGCTGACTAGAATGCAGAAGAGCTGGTGATTATTGAAGTACATTGGAAACACGAGCAGGTGCATTAATCTGCTTATCTGATTGCATCCAGAGACTCCCTGCAGAGTTGGATTGAACTACACTGTACAACAATTGCACTGTGAATGCACCCTTTGACACTGGTGTCCCAGTTTTAGATCACCTTGCATGCGTTACGGGCTAATGAGTTTTTAATCTCAGACTTGTTAACAGCATGCCTGCGCTAATTTCGTTATTAACAGTTATTTTACCAGTTTTCAACAGTAATTAAAATCACTCAATATGATCAAACAACAGGAAATTATATAAGAAAGTACATTTTTGTGAAGGTCTAACAATGGAAGATCTTGAATAAGTTTTTTTAAAGGTGAGGCTTTAAAATAATAAAAATTAAGATGGTCAAAAACTGAGCTAAAAATGGAGACAAACTTTCATCTTCCTATCCCCCCCCCCCCCCCCATCATCCCTTCACCTCTGAAAGAATCCCACAATCAGTATTTTTTTAATATTTCACAAATTTTTTTTCAGACCTGTGAAAATCATCAAAATCTTACTGACATTTCCCACAAAAAGTCTTCTTTCAAATTTTTTACAGGCATTCTGCATGGAAATCTACACCAAGTGTCACTTGGCCTTTCTATCACCGCTGTGCGTGGGTTTGGGTAATGGCTACTAGTACTTCGGCAAGACAACCCTTAAGTTCATGCTAAACAACATGGAATTTTGTAAGCATATATTTTTGTCATTTACAGGTAAACAGGATAATAAAATATTGAGAGGAAGCAGGTGGCTAAAACGTAGAACAATCATAACAGTCAGTAAAAACCCATACCTCAGATACATGCAGCACGCAATTTAAGGGACCATTCCAACTCCCTATCGTACTAACTTTGGATCGATCTATCTCTAAGGGGATTCTCGCTAAATTGCTATCCACTTAAGCAGCTTAGATGTCTGCCACGCCTACTGAAGCTGCTTGGGGGTAATTAATTATCATTTAGCAGCTTCAGTGGGTGTGTTAGACATCTAAGCTGCTTGGGACTCTTGCTGAATGCAATCATTTTAACAGACTAACATGTCTCTTCTTGTTTCCAACAAGCTCATATAACCACCATCTTTTCTGTCTTCTAATTAACGCCAGGAGAAGGTGTGTTTATTCACTTCCTTTGCAGAAAAAAATGTTCAAAGTAATCCATAACTCAAAAAAGATGTAATGTATCTTTGGATATTGGGAAATTTCCACTTTTTGCCGAGGTCGTATACATACAAAAACATGGAAATATTTCAGACAATGACAAGCTTTCATACTATCCCTTGTTTTGTACGTCCCTTTAAATATTGTCCGAACTGATATACCTTTACTAAATTAATGTAATTGTCCCTACCTATCCCGACATCTAATTGAGCAAGTAACAAACGCTGCAACATGATGATAATATGCATCCAATTTAATGGATGTTTTTTATGTCTTGGCTCACAAAACACAACACTTCTAGCCTGCAGCCATTTCTATGTACATCACACGAGATGGAATTTTGTCTTTGTCACCCGTCCACAGGATGGAAATGAGAATCAAATATTCTGCAGCATCATGAATAAATGGAGTGAATGGACCTAAAATCTTCAGGCATTTTAATATAATTATTAATGACAATTATGAAGAAAAATTTATTGCATCCAAATGCCAGTACACTGAATCGGAAATGGTATGTTCAGTTAGAAAATGAATATAGCCCAAGTATACCTACAATATATTGGTTTGCTCTTAGACAGTTTTCTTTACTGTACTTTTTTAATTTTCATATATATATATATATATATATATATACATATATATATATATATTATTATTATTATAGATACATTGTTGTTACATGAAGGTTTTATTATTCATATAATAAATAAGGTGTAACAACAACAAAACTAAAGGTTCTTAATGTCTTTCACACAGCTTTTTAAGAGCAGAGTGTGAAATCAGTACAATATTATATTATCTGATTATGTCAAATATGCCACTCCTGAAAGCAATTCTGAATGCTACTGGGTCGTACCTGAGATCATTATAAAGCCTACGCAATACCTATTTATTTCTTGGCAATAGCCATCAATGCAGAAACCAGGTTGACAGTACTTGTAATTGCTATTACAAAGCATTAGCACTTAAGGATGTTATGTGACCGTGGCGATATGCACTTTATTTGGTTTTAGGTGTGTTTTTCAGTACAAGAGAGTACTTTCTTTCGGTATATATGTCAAATAATACACTGCCAACCTCTCTCATTAAAATCTTGAATACCCCTCGCTGATGCTGAAGCCAGCTGAAGATGTCCTGGCATATATATATTTTGATCGTGTAACAGTGTACTAGTATTATCTTGCACATAATAGACATCTACGCAGGGGTCACCAAATATTCAACCAATGATTTTGTGTGATACTTCAATATTCAGCAAAAATGATTCTGCAAAGAGTTGAAAACATTATCAGAATAAACAGATCCTAAGGCCAGAGAGCATTTAAGACAGCTTAAATATTTCAGGTATATCAGCTTATAAACCTCTACCCTTATACCTGGCAGACAGCATAGGATTTTTGCATTAACTAAAAAAAAAAACATTTGCTGAAGATATTGAAATCAAAATTTCATTCTGCTGTACAATAGCATTTTAACTGATATGTCTCACTATAGGTCTACATACATGTATATGCACTGCGGCATATGTGTTATGGGTAGTGAATATTAGAATGTCACAAACATAATATGTAACATGTGCTGCATAATCCAATATTGTTATATAACAGTGCTGCACTTCCCTAAGTTTTGAAATGTCAAGAAGATAAAGTAGAGAGAGACTCAAAAGAATGCCTCTCAAAGGCAACATTCAGATAGACACACCTTACTAGTTGGGGTGGTCCAACTCTGCCGGGGCTTTTGCTAGCTAGTTGCAATCAGCTTAACAAAAAGACACACCTCCTTGAGCAGCTTGGGGGTTGTTAACTTGCATGTGCACTAGGGTAAATTACCCTAAGCTGCTTGAGGAGGTGTGTCAGACCATTAAGCTGATCCCACTGATTGCACTTAGCAAGATTCCCCAGCAGAGCTGAGCTGAGCCAACTAGACAGATGTGTCTATACATGTAGATCTCAAATGGTCAAATATGTAAAAAGCCTAGAAAAACCTGTCCATTCTCCATGGGTCTTCTGGCAACTTCTCTCATATTGAAGAGTTAAATATTATCATTCAGTACTGATTAACTAAGTGTAACATAATAATCAATATTATCATTGCAATGATCTGGTAAAATTCAAGTTCCAGGGTCCCTTAATTAATCTCAAACCAGACATTTAATGTCAAACAAGAAATTTAAACCTATAACCAGCACAAATTACTGTTGTTTTGTGCATATGCTTCGCTAGCGAGAAAACTCTACGATCAAGAAGACAACAAACTCCCCACATGGGATTATTTTCAATTCATTTACTTCAGCTTCCACCAAACCAAAGATAATTTGTTGGAAATCAAATTATTATAGTTTCCTGCAGACCATATCATAATATTCTTGTTCTGCCTCAAGCAAAACATTTCTATGGAGTTAGTATCATCTCTGAAGGATGGGATACACAGTCACAAAATATATCTAAACTGCAGAGAATATGGGAGCCTTTAGTTGTGTGAAATATCTTCTTCCAACAGTAATATCTAAACAATTACATTTTCTTACTGTCTTTTAAATGCCACTGCAATGTAATTTAATAACTTTAATCTTTTATGTGAGAAGAAATTGTAAACTAATTCATTCAGTGGTCCCTCAGGTCTCAAGTAAAGGGTATGGAATCCCCAAAGATGGAAGATGGCGAGCATGAGCCAGGCATGTACTAGTAGCTGTCATGTCTGCCTCTGCCAAGAGAGCTACCATTGTGTCTGAGATAAAAAAAAACAGCCTAATTCGCGATAAATTTGCATAACAGTTCACCTGAATACAACTTAAGTATTGGTCTAAAACAATAGCCATTTCTTTCTTGACATGTTGTAAAACAGACGCAATGTCATTGGGTAACCACAACTAATCTATCTTGGGACTTAAATCAAAGTAGACTAGTAAGGCCGCATTCAGATCAGTGGACTAACTAGTCCCTGGGTCAAATATGGCCACCAACTAAAAAGCTTGCCGTCTAACCCTAATATAGTCCGAGAATACAGACACTGAATATATTACCCACAGGGAACTATTCAAGTGGGTTGGCCATATTTGATCTGCAGACTTGTTAGTCCACTGTTCTGAGTGCAGCCTAAAACAATGGTCTAAAAATTTAGACCATCTAGTCTTTGAATCTGGAGTTTTCTGATGAAACCATCCCCTGGTTGTGTCAATTTTAGGCAGAGAAATGGCACATTCACAGCCAAAGCTGATCCGCAGAATATCATATCCATGGATTAAATATGGCCGACCCACTTGAAAGCTTGCCACATAATTGATGCAGGGAATCTATTCAGTGTCTATTAGAGGATTATGCAGCAAGCTTTCAAGTGGGTCAGCCATATTAGATCTGTTAGTTCATGGATGAACTAATTGAGAATGAGACCTTAGTCTGGTTATGAAGAAGACTTGAAACAGAACACAATTTACCTTTGAAGAACTGACATGGATTCCTACATATTATGATGTGTGTCATACAGTTATGACGACTATCTGGATATATTCCTGGACTTTAAGTCTGTATAATAACAGCATGCAAAATGGCATGTAAACTAAATATTAATCTTACTAATAGAATTCAGCATAAAACAGCTGGGTCTCTCTCTCTCTCTCTTTATTTTTCTTTATTTTCTTTACTCATTTATTTTTCATTTTTTTTTTTAATCAAGATTACATTCAGACCTTGTGCTGAAAGAATATTTTATACAAAACAAAACTGGAGAGATTTTTGTTTTGTTTTGTTCAGAAGGTTTATAATTATCGAAAGTAAAACAATGACAGTTCATATCTCTTGAGATTACACTCAACATGTTCACATGACCTCACGTGTTAATGTCAAAGGAGTCTAGTTCTTTACACAATCAATAAAAAGCACTTTTGTCTCATCCAATTAACACAGTCACACAAATCAGTCATGCATTGCTGGCAATTTGCTCTAAATTAACCTACTTTTCATGAAATTTTACAGTAGAAATAATTTTATTTATTTCTTATGCTGTTTAGTACTCAGTAATTATTATCATGCACTAGTAGATATGGAAAGCAAACAAACCCAAAGTTTGTCTATGGTAAAACATTCCTGAGAAAAGAGGTTAATGTTACTGAATGGACTTTTATCTTTTACTTACCTACAAATATACTTAAACAGGTCAAATTGATCTCTGGGTCTGGACACTGAAAAAACAAAGCAAAATTCTTATTAATATTTTTATTAAAAAAATAATATTAATTTTTGGTACACTTGGTACTTGTCTAATTCATTTGTGAGTTACTACTGGTTCTTTCTGAAATGAAAACCAAGAAGAAAGGGGGCAGCACATTTTGTGAAATATAGTTAAGTTTGAGACAAGATACCACTATCCCACCAAAAATTACAGAAGGGTCAGTTTCACCAAAAAAAGGAAATAAAAATAAATAAATAAAAATATAAATAAATAATATGCTGAAAATATCTTAACTTTTAGACTTTAGTTTTATTTTCGGACTAAAGTCCAATTTTTGCACCAGAGACCTCTTCAAATCTACCCCAGGGGCATTCACTGCCTTATGTATGAAGACATACGCACATGATTCATGTAACATTATATATGATGCTTGTGCATTATCAAAATTACCATCCTGTCATTCGCGATTCAAGTTAATGACATTAACAGCGACTGATTCAAACAAAATGGTCCACTAAGCTAGGAAACACTGGGCACATGGCCCCATTTTCACGGCAAATGCTCAATGTCTACCGCATAATCGCTCATTTCACGCGACAGGGTGCGCTGTAAAATGCCTGACCAATTAATCAAGAGTAATGTACACAAATGGATCACTCTAATTTGGTTAAAACCATCTGTCATAAAAATGATCAATGGCCACCATTTTCAAGGTTACAAATCAGGATGGTAAAGTTCTTTTCATAATGCATATTTTGACTAAAAAAAGATCATTTCACTTTTCAGATCAGTTCTGAAACAATAACATCCTGTTAAAAATGAGTCCCAGTGTAAAATCTTTGGATATCATATAATGTACAGTGTATGGAAGAGATGCTTCAGAAAATGCTTTCTTTTTAAAAAGATGTCAGTTCTGAAACAAACATTTTCCTTGAAAAAAAACAAGTCTTAAAAATAATATGCACAAAAAAAAAAAATGAAATTAGACTCTACAAGAACTACACATTTTTTTTCTATTATTTTTTTAATCATATATTTTATTACATATACTGGACCAGATATGGGCTTTATATAAAAAAAACAACATTCTTTCAAATATTTCTTCCCCAACATTCACTGTGCTGGAGGAAGGAAATTTGAGCAAAAAAGAAGTGATGGAACGGTTCAGATATTGAAAAATATAACTTTTTTTTTTTCAAGTGTTTCACTTCTATTGTGAAAAGAAAGTACCGGTTCCATTCAACATGACACCCACAAGAATCCAGTTTTTGTATTACACAAAGATTACATATATCTACTGTACTGTTTTGTATTCAGCAGGTGTAAGTGGCTCCAGAAAAAAAATATACAAAGCATTATCTTCCAAAAACGACAATTGAAAACGATGCTGATGTATAAAAAGTGAGTTAAAGAAAAGGTGCAGTCAAAAGTAAGTGGATAATATTGGTATGTTTTTTACTATATAACAGGTTTTCACTTATCTCTACTTTTCTGTACACAGCCCCGTCACTTCTCTCTCTCTCTCCTTACATTTACTATAGGTTTTCACTTATCTCTGTATTTTTCTGTACACAGCTCCGTCACTTATCTCTCTCTCTCTCTCTCCTTACATTAAAAGTCCAATGATGATAAACTAAAACATGCATAGTAAGCACTACAAAATAAGCCCAGCTATTCTCAATATTAATACCAAAATTTCCTCTTTTGGACATAATTTTCATTACGAGTCTGTGGCCATACATACAGCAAAGATTTAAGTGTGTTATATGAGAGATCCTCAGGTGTGCATATAAGCATCATGTTTACCTGTCCATGTAAGCCCTACAATTATATTCTATGTGCCAGCACTGCAGGCAAAGTCTTGTGTAGAACATCAAATTATCTCTTCCAGCAATTCTTGTACATCAGACTCCCAGGGCGCGACAAAAGCCTCCATCAAGCTACATCAAGTCACATGCATCCAACGACTTACCGCACACGTGCAGTACATTTGTCTCGTGCATGCTGTTAGTGTGGCATTGTCTGGCTTCTGGAGATGCAGACAAATTGTTCGACTGTTCTTACATGTCACATTGGAGATTATGCTTCATAAAGACTAATTGTTTCGTGGTACATAAAACCCTCACTGTGCATGTGCCTACGCGTTGGCTGGCTGCTAGGGAAAAGTGACTTTTGTCACATGATCTCACGTGGGTTGACACAAGCCCTGTTCCAATAGCTAGAGATGCTACCCTGACTCAAACCCTTCAATAGAAAGATGCTAATTTATCAATGCTCAATATTCCATTAAAGAAATTGTCATTGTGGCCTTTTAAGCACTGATGTAAATTTTCTTGTCAAATTTCAAATACCTATACTAACTGTTTGTCTTGTTAAAGCCATTTCATTCTGTGGATGCATGCAGATTGATTTTTTCTAGATCGCTTCATAACATCTTTTGCTGCTGCACATCCCTTGGCATGATATCATATGGTAACTTTAAGCTTGGCATCTTTATATTGAATAACACTAATAAGTCGCAAATCTTTTTATTCTTCACACTGAAGGTTTTAGATCTGGAAACACAATGTCATAAAAATGGAAAAATATTCTTAGCCGATGTTTTACATGCTCATGGCAATAAATAAGATTATTTTGCTCTGCCATAAACTTCTGCCTTTAAAAATTGGACGGGTAAATTTGTTTGACTTACACCACTACCAACTGAATCTATTCAATACCTGGATCATTTCACCTTATCTTAATTCTTCCATAATTCCATCACTTAAAATTTATGACACAGATTAAGATAAACAAAAAAGAAAGATGTTAAAACCCTACAAATAAAAGCTTTGTCCAACCACAAAATTAAAGTTAAACTCTTAGGCCGTGTTCACATCAGGCTTAGCTTAGATTGTATATGTATGCAATTTTTCACACTAATGGACAAAAAACTGGTAATAATCAACCTCTTATTTCACTCTTTTAAAAAATCAAAATAAACAAAATGACCAAGAGAGGAGCTTCTGTAACATGACTGCAAAAGCTGACCTACAAGTACATGCTGTCAGATTGATCACAGCATACAAAATAACGGGATAGTTATTGTCTTGGGTTCATATTCAAACAAAGAACAGACCCAAGTTAAAAATGATATGAATGCCCCTTGCATGAGCCGTCTTCCACCTCCTAGCAGCCAGGTAGAACAGGTAAAGCAATCTTATCACAAAGAGGAGTGTTATATAATTAGGTCATAACCGGTAACAGATAAACCAGGAGTTAACGAGGCGACGTTCATGTGATAGTCGCGAGCACGAAATACGACTGAGCTGTCACTTATATATCTTGCAGAGGCGTGAAGTATCTGACTTGTAGAACACTCTTGCTGAAGTCAAGAACAAAAGGCGCTCTGAGGTGTAACTCACTTTCTGTTATGTATACGAGATACTCCTGAATCTGGGCCTTTCGTTCTCTTGTTCTATGTATCCCAGAATCCCCCATAGTATAATTACATGACTGCAAGTTAAGGGATCCTATTCTAATGTAAGCTCGCTTTTTTATCACTGTCAATAAACAGGAAAACACAGATATATGAACATAAGACCTTGCCAATTTCACTAGACAATAACAACTTGGTATCCAATTAATCACAGAAAAATACCTGTACAAGTTAGATAAGACTGCTTTGTATTACTTAATAAAATGAAAATGATATTTCTGCTAATACAGGTCTGTAATCGCAGTAAGCTGAATTGTTTCCCTTCCCTCCTTTGAATGTTATATATATTGTCACTTTGGCATTTATGAAGGTTGGGTTTATTTTTAGTGACCTACTAGTTTAGATAATAGATGCATGTACAAAGACAATGATGACATGCATGGGCCATGCATTTCTATTCATTTTATATACTCCCAGTGTGAATTGATGCAAGTACCAAGTATATGTGTGGGTGTACATGCATGTATTTTTTCTATGCATGGATTTTTTCTTAGATTTTATTTTTTGGTCATTTAAATTTTGGTGGATTTAGATTTAATAGTATGTGCAAAATAATTGAAGTATTAATTTCATGTATCCTTATGATAACCTTCAACTAGACTCCCTGCTCACTCTTTATTTTTTAAAAAGGTACAGATAATTTGCTTTAAAGCTACTAGTAACTGCATGAGACTTAGGCTCTATTCCCATAGATTTTAGATCGATCTATCCCCGCGGGGAGTCTCACTAGATTACTTTCAGATAATCCGACTTCAGATAGTCCGTCCCGCCTACTACAAGCTGTAAGGGGGTAATTAACTTTCGTGTCCGCCCGGCTGACAGCTATTTAGCGTGAACCCCCAGGGAGTTAGGTCGATCTAAAGTAGGTCGATCTAATCTATGGAAATGGGGTGTTAAATTTCCAGCCAAAATGAATTTTCCTGGGGTAAAGGCCAATGTTTTCCTAATCAGTAATTTTATTATTATTGCTTGATCCGTCCCTGCACATGGATTCGATGTTTTATTACATAATTTAGTTGAACATGACAACCCAGTCATTATTACGACATCTGCCATCTTACATATTGCATCATCTTCATAAAAAAAATGAGGGAGGGGGGGGGGGGGCGTTTTGTATGGCGGCCCTGTGCCATGTATAATATAGATGTCGCAAGCTGGCAATGACTACAGCAAGGATTATGAAAACGTATAAATGACAAAACAGTACACTTCAGATAAATTTTATCTTAAGGGATTTAAAAATGCATGGAGAAAATCTCTAGATATTAGTTATCATGGGGAAAATCCCATGGAGTGTTTTTGAGTAAATATTCATGAAAACTCTCTCTTTTCATCTTTTGTCGATGTATCTTTGATTTGATAAAAAAAATCCATCTGGCTTAAAAAAATGTAAACACAAACCACTGTATGATTGAATGCTTCACTTATTAATTTTCAGAATTAAGAAGGCAAGCAATGTATTGCTCCAGAAGATATGAAATTTGTTTACTAAATCTATACTAGAAGTTGATAGTTATATTATGGCAATTAAT